GTAGCTTTGTGCTTAACTTCGAACAATAACAACTAATGCATTTACAAGATAATATGATCAGTATTGCTTTCTCAGCACTTATCAAATCCCACTAACTAACTAACTTACTCTTATCTAAACATCATTACTTCTCTGTTCCAGAATTATCTGGCGTAATTTAATTCATTTCACATACCTCTCAGTAAATTTACAAGTCCACAAGTGCAGAGCATTTCTGCCTTAGTTTTTTAGTTGCAATGATTTCTAGGTTTTTATTGTACGAAACTGAGAGACATTTCTTCGTTTTTCTGATATACAGAAACGTAGTGTTAAACATCATAACACGTGTGAAATATTACATATACGATAAACAGTTCTGTAAGTTATTGTGAAATAGAACATATATGATAAACAGTTCTGTAAATTATTGTGAAACAGTACAGATATGATAAACAGTTCTGCAAGTTATTGTGAAATAGTACATATACAATAAACAGTTCTGTTAGTTATTGTGAAATAGTACATATATGATAAACAGTTCTGTAAGTTATTGTGAAATAGTACATATATGATAAACAGTTCTGTAAGTTATTGTGAAACAGTACAGATATGATAAACAGTTTTGTAAGTTATTGTGAAACAGTACAGATATGATAAACAATTTTGTAAGTTATTATGAAATAGTACATATATAATAAACAGTTCTGTAAGTTATTGTGAAATAGTACATATATGATAAACAGTTCTGTAAGTTATTGTGAAACAGTACAGATATGATAAACAGTTCTGTAAGTTATTGTGAAAATAGTACATATATGATAAACAGTTCTGTAAGTTATTGTGAAACAGTACAGATATGATAAACAGTTCTGTAAGTTATTGTGAAATAGTACATATATGATAAACAGTTCTGTAAGTTATTGTGAAATAGTACATATATGAATAAACAGTTCTGTAAGTTATTGTGAAATAGTACATATATGATAAACAGTTCTGTAAGTTATTGTGAAACAGTACAGATATGATAACCAGTTTTGTAAGTTATTGTGAAACAGTACATATATGATAAACAGTTCTGTAAGTTATTGTGAAACAGTACATATATGATAAACAGTTCTGT